CTCATTCAAAACAAACAGCTTGAATTTCGGAAGTTGTTCAAAGTGTTTTCACAACTGAAGCAGCGTGCCGAATCCAAGAAAGCTGCCGTACTCTTTGAGCTTCCCAAAAGCTGTGAGTGCTGGAATGACGAGAGGTTGAAGAAGCAGATTACGCTTGGAATCGCATGACTTTGACGGGTGTAGGTACGGCTTGAAGCAAAGGTACGCCAAGAAACCCCTGCCGATTCTGAAACCCTGGCGTGTCATTTCTTGGAACTTTGACCTGGGGGAACCCCTTTCAAAGAAGTGCAATGGCACCTTGCGCTGGTAGGGAAACCAAGGACACCCAACTGTACACTTCACTAATTGTCAATTTTATTCTGCGACGTTTTCGGGCCAAATGTTCGCGACATTATGGAGTGAACCTTCGCCTTGCATATTCAAAGCTTCGCCGAGAAGAAGAAGAGACTCCAAGGTGAGAGATCTTCTACCTCCACATTGCCGTCTACCCTTCGGACGCACCGCAGCTTCATGTCTGCTACAAGACGACGATTGGATCATTTCTGCAGTGGTGCTTTTGCATATTCCTTTATCTACGACTTTGCTGGATCGTGGAGCTGTACATCTTCAAGGGGGATGACTCGGAAGAGTACTCATTCGTTTCTCCATCGAAGGCGAGAAGAAGTACTTATTAGTTTCAAAATCTTGCGTGCCTTCGTTGTACGCTACATCTGCGTACTTCTCCCACAAAAGTCCCGACACTCAGTGTCGTGGTGCAGCGATTTCGTGAGGGTCATCATGAACCATCTCTCCCAGCAGGAATGTTTGATGAAGTGGAGTGATTTCTGCAGAAAAGGGAGAAGGTTGACGCAGACGCTCGCTGTCGCCATCCTCAAGCATGTCATCGACCCCGAGATCGTGAAGGTCATCATCAACATATGGGAGTTGACGGCCGCGCTCACGAAGGACATCGACGGGCAGCCTGGTACCAACGTTGTCAGGGAGGGCCAGACCGTCGGTGATGTACACCAGTACTCCACGAGCGCCATGGGCCGGTGCGAATGCGTGCGGAAGGCACGTCAGTGACACTCTGGCTGGAGAAGAGCGAGAAGAGGTTTACCACTTTATTGGGTTCAGACCTATTGTATTCCGAATGCGCGGGTGTGCACTGTGGTAAATGGCGTCCTGGACAAGGATGAAGTCTGAAGGAACCATGAATGCGTACAGAAGCACCAGGAACTGCTAACCCTCTCCGCCAAGTACGTGGCGTTCGCGGCCAGATGCGAACCCCGATGCACGACCAAGAACATCTTGGAATTGAATCAAACAGTTGCCTATCATCCCCGATGCTCTTGTTGCTGCCTCTATTGCAATGGGATGTGTTCTATTCCTACATGCAAGGCTCAGGGAGATCTTCGGGGGAAGCGATCGTGAGAGAAGGGAGTACATTGGTGGCAACATGACTATTGTCAAGGAAGTTGACGTCCAGCTCAACGACCTCAACAAGGCATTCCCTGTCATGGCAAAAGCGTGGGAATCGAAGCTCCCGGCCATCAATATGTACGCCATATCTGTTGCACCGCGTGGCGAAGATGGTGCCAAGGAAGCCACAAACGGCCTCTTGTGGGAATCATTCATCGTGATTCAGGACAACCAAGCCGCGGATACCCAACAACAGCGTGCCTTCATCAACAACTTGCTGTACTCCAAGGATGGTACCAAGAAATTCATCGACATCTTCGACGAGCATTTTGGCGAAGAGGAGACACCAGCATGGTGGAGGATTTCAGGGAAAGCGCACGTTGCCCCAAAATGCAAGGCGATGCCGAAATCTAGCGCCGGAAGCGAGCAGCAGGGTGTTCCACCAAGCGCGAGCTCCAGCAGTGACACCACTGGTCGTGCGCCGTGGTGGGCTTCATATCAGCCGACGGGGAAAGAACGTGATGATGGATCGGTGGTCAACCATACCATCCAAGCGACCTGGAAATTTCCGCGAAAGGGGAAGACGACCGATCGATGGGCCATGCCGGAAAGGCATGATGCGAATGGATCGTTCACCATCATCGAACAATGCACTGCTTTCGGCAACCTCAACATCGGGGTTAGCTTTGTCGTGCGCAGGAAATCCGGAGTCGTCGTGCCCACTACGAAGTTTGGACCAGAAGTCAACGCGGGGAAGAGAGCATCCTATTGGGAACGGTATTTGCGGCATTTGGTGACAACGTTGCTCATTTTCGACGAGAAGAGAAGAGCTGACCGCATCATCAATGCCTACCTCAACAAGCCCAACCTCGCCTGGCTCCAACTTTACGCATACATCTGCGCAAAGACAGGGTGTCTTTACCGGCAACCCGGAGCAACCCCCCGTTGAAGGCTCTCATTGACGGTCATGACAATCCCGACACAGCCAATCGAAAATCATCAAGAGGTACAGTGATGAGGGGGGTACTGAACTCACCTGCCAGCAATTGTGCGATGTCGCGACGTCAACCAAGTCCTACGTGATCCTTGATTGGCCATTGAGGCAGAAAACTGGGAAGCACATCAGGACGTTCCAATGCCATTTGCATGACAATGGCTGGGACAATGTCAATTGCCACGCTAAGGGGCTGATTGAGCAGAATACCACGCACAAGGGAGCTGACCGCCCCAACATCATCAAACGATTCTTTGCTGAATGCAGCCTGGTGCTCGGTGAACGAGCTTGAGAGCAAATTCGACGGGGACATGGATGCTTTTGTGTCTCACATCATCGTGAAGCTGTTCGACAAGAAGTTCGCAAAGGAGATGTCGCAGATTGGAGGCCTTACACTCGATCGAGACGCCTTTGCTGATTACTTCCGCAGTAGCAATGGAAAGCAACTGTGGGTCGACAAGCTGTTGTACATTGTCCCGCATTTGGATGGGACGAAAGAGAGAAATACCAAATTCCGTGTATGGCGCGACGACGGGCACGCTGTGTACGCTTCGTGGATGCGTTGGTTCCTCGGTCAAGAGCAGGCGTACCGTGTTTTCTCCACCGAATGAAGAGAAGTTGGGAGATGGATTGGAGACCGTCCTCGGATTCTTCGACGTCATATCCTACTTCGGACAGGAATTGCCAAAGTGGGGGAACGTTTGCCAATACCGACCAATGCTGGAAGCCACATTCCTGAAGTTCGTCAGGGAGAACATGACCTCTCTGGCGGAGTATTTGCACCTTGGGATAGCAAGAGCATCTCGACCAAGACTGCGTTGCGCGACGTCAAAGAAGGAGACGAGGAAGTTGTCCGTGTGCCAGTCAGGGGTCACATCGAGAGGGACGATCGTCGCCTTCGAGACCATTCCCTTCAAAGCGATCAGGGCGATGTGGAGCTTCACGTCCATGAAGAAAGGACCTGTCAAAGAGGTTAAGCGGATCTACTCCCGCGTCCTCGAGAGCGAGATCTGTCCAGGAGTCAAGGACGCTGTGGGCGTGACCCCAGCGAACTTTCTTGGAAACCTCAACAGCTTCTTGGACGATGAGGACTCTGCGGATGCTGAGATCCTGAAGAAAATGGTCGTCGTGGCGTGCATCAACGTCGAAGTGCCCGAGCTTTTGAACAACTCGTCGGTTGAGATCAGGGATTTGCTCAGCAGGTTCATTGTCTACCGCGAGGACGACCCGTCAAATATTTCCAACAGAGTATGCCCAGCGTGCGCTGTTATCATTCCAGAGGATTTTGTCACGAGGACGAGCCCAAAACATCCGACACCACCAGGGCGACGGAGGAAGTGAAGCAAGCTCAGCGAGGCGCAAGGGAGGATGCTGAGCGCATCGTCGCCGAGGAAGAACGACCCGACACCAATGAGATGAGCGAGGGACGATCCGCAGACAGGTCGTACCTCCCATCGGACATCGGGACGGATATCGACGATGATGATGTGGGAGTCTGTCCGGACAATTCCGAGGAGGACGCAGACGCAATTCATCTCCTGCAAGTCAAGGCAATTTGCGTCGACGAGCCTGGCGAGGCGTCATACCTCTCCAGCTTCATTGGCGTCATACGTTTCAAAGTGTGGAAGGTATTCGCCAACAACGAGGCAGACTTTGTCAAGGCAAAGGTGGCGGAATCTATTGTCCCTACATCGCAATCAATGGGAGGGACGACTGGATTTTCACCGAAGTCGACGAGCAGAACATTCCTGTTCCGCCCACCTACGACGAGGTCGTTGCCGTTCCCAAATTTAGGAATGTAAGGTTCCAAAGTGCGAATCACGGGGATGAAGAGACGTTTTATTGGTCCCTGAAGCTGAGAGGGTATCGGATCTGGACCGCCTGCAATATCCTTGGTATCAAGGCAGAGGCACCAATCACCAGAAGGACACCGCCTTTGTATGTGATACGATTTTCCGATGCATTGCCCTTGGCCACAATTGCGACTACATGACATTCTACCGAACAGATGTGATCATTGGACGCAAGGTCTTGAAAGTTGATCTTGCTATGATTTGCGTACAAAGCGTCAAAGAGGTTGATACTCCTCTTAGCCAATGGTGCTACATCGCAATATACATCTGCCCTCGCGCTACATCGAGAAGATCAACCACAATCTCCGCTAGAAAGGTTCCGATGGAGGGCAAGTAGAAAGGCGATCGCAACGTCGTCGCACTGGTGATCGCCGCGATGGAAGCCACTCGTTTGGCCAAGGAGACACCCTCGCAGTGCAATGGTTGTGCATTGGGACATTGCGAGTTGGGACATTGCGAGTGGGTACATGCTTCAGGACAAGCTTGGTCAAACTCTGAAACGCGAACTGAACTCCGAGTGTGTGAAAAGGAGAGTTGCAGTTTGTTGGATGTTGCTTCGACTCCATGTGCCACGGGCAAAGAGATGCTTTCATGGAACCAGATGTTTGTGCAATCGCGGCTTTTATGGAGCAAGTTTCTCAACATATCCATACGCGTTTGAAGGAGCCCATTTCGCAACGTTGCATGCGCAGTTCTGTGGACTTTGCTGCAAGCATGCTAACATTTGCAATTGATTCCAATGAAGGCTTTGACCAGCCTTCTCAGCTTGTTTGTGCGATGGCGTTGGACTGGCCTCGCCTTCCATCAGATGTGCCGCACATAGAGCAGGAAGCATTGAGTCGCTTGCGTTGCACGGGCTCAGGTTTTGGTGCCGGGTGTCCATCCCTCAGTTTCTCAAGCTGTTAAGCAGCCCGGGCTGTTCGTTCATTAAATTCAACGAGGCTTTGCACTTCTATGATGCTGCTACAGCCTTCCGAGTTGGGGTTGGAGTCTTAGGTTGTGCTTTGAGCTTTGCCAGTCTGGTTTTTGCAGGCAACTGATCGTCAAATGCGCAATGCGTTGAAACAGCAACTGATGGGCTCCGATCTCAGTCAGAGAAACACTGTTGTGGCCATGTGTTTGCTTCAGAGCACCAGCGCATATCTCTTTTGCCAGAGCTAGAGAGTATATGTTCAACATGCAGCGACATCCACCAAGGCATCAAGATTATGTTGCGTCGCAAACGCTTGCAGCCGGTCTGCCAACCAGTTTGCGTTCTGTGTTGTACAAGCTCTTGAAGGGCTTGCTGGTAAGTCTTGACAGGAAGTCTTGCTCGCACTGGCACAGTCTTTGAGCCAGCTGGAAGGATTGAGGGCGCTGGAGGCAACGTACACTCTGATGCAATGCCAGCTTGAGCATTTCTTTTCAGATTGAGCTGAAAGGAAGCCACTTAGCCATTCTTTTTCGGTGGCTGAGTGGCTAAGTGGCTCAGTGGCTAAGTGGCCCGTTGGCTGAGTGGCTAAGTGGTTCAGCGGCTTCCCGGGGGCTGAGTGGGTAAGTTGGCTGAGTGGCTAAGTGTGGCTAAGTGGCTGAGAAGCTAAGTGGCTGAGAAGCTAAGTGGCTAAGTGGCTAAGTGGCTAAGTGGTTGTTTACGATGGAGGTTAACCTGGTGGTTGAGTGGCTGGGTGGCTGAGTCATTGGCTGAGTGGCTGGGTGGCTGCCCGGCAGCGTGGCAAAATTGACCCAGCTCGACCAGGTGCGACTGCGACAGTCGCACCTTGGCGGCGTCCCTTTAAAAAGAATCTCCAGAAAACAGATTGAGCGCGCGCACAGTAGAGCTGAAAGGAAGCCACTTAGCCACTTAGCCACTCTTTAACTAAGTGGCTTCCCGCTGGCTGAGTGGCTAGGTGGCTGAGTGGCTAAGTGGCTAAGTGGCTAAGTGGCTTCACGGTGGCCAAGTGGCTGGCTCTAAGTGGCTGAGTGGCTTCCTGGTGTGGCTTCCTGGTGGTTGAGTGGCTGATTGACTGAGTGGCTGTGTTGCTCCCACTGGCTGAGTGGCTGGGTGGCTGCATGGCAAAGTTGACCCAGCTCAACCAGGTGCGATTGCAACAGTCGCACCTGGCTGCGCCCCCTCAAAAATAATCTCCAGAAAACACATCATTTTACGGTAGGGGCCAGTTACGGTCTGGCCTATTCTGCTTTCTTCGGCAAACAGCAGAAATTAATGCTGTACTGGTTTTGCGGTGATGCTAAAGGCTTCCCCGTAGTATCCAAATTCAATCGGAAGTCTTGGAGGAATATCTATGGCGGAAAGCCGGGCAAGGTTAGATAGATAGAATATACCCATTAATTATTATCTACTACAATTGCACTGCTTACAAAAGTGGTTTGATATTATCTAATGTGTGCGTCTATTCATTATCTTTGTGTTGTGCTGTTAGCTTTGTTATGATATTACAATTTTTCATATTAACAGTAAAACCGCACCCATAGTAATTATATTGATTTGTATATTGTCTAAAAATAACCATTGAGTATTTGCATTACCTTCTTTAGGTATATGTCGTTTTGTTTTTTGACCTATTTTTTGTAATTTAATACTTTCCTTTCAACATAATTTAATATATATTTTTGATTAACTACATCATCAGTATCTTTTTATATTCTAAAAAATGACTTTGTTTAAATATCTTGCTCTGGTAATTGCCGTCCATATCCATTCCGGATAACTATTGACAAAAAATGTAGATAGTGTCGGGTGTGTATCTTCGTGTTGAACCATTATTATTAAAATGTAAAAATGAACCATTATTAAGACTTACAGCTTTGTCGGTACCTATAAACTGAACAGCGTTGGTAAATATCGCTCGTCCGGCACAATTTAGTTTATAACAAGCAACACCAACAGCACCTAAACCGAACCTATCCTTAACCCACACACGGCCAACATTAGCATCTCCTATTTGAGTCTCCCATTGACCTCCTGAACTACTCATCCACATTTTACCATCTCTATCAATATTGAATTCTCTGTTAAACATTACGAATTGAATGTGTAATCCGTTGTTCGGAGCCCTAAGTGTATTACAAAATAGAATGTTGCCGGTAATCGTTGTAATAGTCTCTTGAAAAGTTGAAGCACTATTAAAATCAACAGCACCTGTTAGCGATTGTAGGTTAGTATCCATTTTATCTGTCCGTGAATCCTCAAGAAGCAGCTTAAGAGGATGCTGGCGCCATGGCCCCTTTTTTGCTGCAGTTTTCCTTGACAGTGGGGCGCGCGCTGCGTCTGTGATTGGAGTGCTGCCGCGCAAGAAGGGTGATATTGGCAGGAAGGAGAGAAGGGCTCCTGCTGGCCTTCCAGTAAGCAGACCCGTTGAGCCAGCAACTCAGAAGCAGCGCGATCGGCTGCTAGCGGCTTTCAAGGAATGGCTGCGCACGCAGGGACTCTCCTTTGGCATTTTCCTTGAAGGTGATCCCGATGTTGACAGTTTAAACAGCATCCTTGTCACCTTCGGGAAGCAGTTGTACGAAGCAGGGCGCTCAAGTTTTGGTTGCATGCGTCAGTACGGCACTGGTGGGGGTTGGACGGAGGTCGCAGGCATACTCGCATTGACGTGGAGGGCGGTCCTTAGGATTGGCGAGGCTCTTGCCGCTACACGAGAGCAGCTGCTTCTCCCTCAGGACGTTGGTTACACTGTCGATATCCAAGCCTAAGACAAGGTACAAGGCCGCCCGACATCAATCAGCAAAGCTGGACCAGCCGCAGTTGCTGAGGGTCGTTGCTCAGGCTTTGAGTGAACTTAGTGGAGATCGTAGGCTTTGGCCAGCATCCCCGCAAGCCCTCCGGAAACGTTTTTGCCAGATCCTCAAGGCCCTTGACATCTACGACCAACCAGGCTCCAGGAAGCTCGTTGATCTTGGATCGCTCCGCGCAGGAGGCGCTACCTGGCTTTTGCAGAGGACGCGCCTATGGTGCAAAGGCGTGGCCGCTGGATCACGCAAAAGATCATGGAGATTTACGTCAGCTCCTTGCAATTTATTCATATATTGCAGGACCGTACGAGGAACCGCATCCTTGCCCTTGTGGCCTGTTTTGAAGACCTGCTTTCGCAAACGGAGTATTGGACTACGATCGGTGTGCCCCCTTCAGTCTGGTATAAACTACTTTCTTTTGGGAAGTAAGGCTGTTGGGATCATTCCTTTCTTTACTTGCTTTGAATGCTTGCAGTTACAAGATTCAGTACAGCTGGGCGATGCAATTTTCTATTGGTTTTTCGATTTGTTTCATGGGGCCACATTAGCCTCAGCGAGCGCTTGAGCGGAAGGCTTGGGTGGACACTTTCTATTTTGGAAGGCGTGGGAGGCTTTTTGCAGGCAGCTGCATAGACAACTTTGGTCTTGAGGACAACCTCGGCCAAGATGACTCTTTTGCTGCCATCCCCTTTTTCATCCATTTGGGGTCAGGTGCCAACTGGCAGCTGAGCTGATACAGTGCTAACACAGCGCAGGCAAAAGATGTGCGGTGATTGAGCCCTTGACAAATAAGGGCGAATGATGAAGCACCTTTGCTTGTTGCTCAAGCATCCCTCCTCTCCTACCCAAGGCCGCTGGGGCTTTTTGCAGGCAGCTGCGTAGACAACTTTGGCCTCAAGGACAACCTCGGCCAAGATGACTCTTTTGCTGCCATCCCTTTTTTTCATCCATTTGGGGTCAGGCGCAGATGTGCGGTGATTGAGCCCTTATGTAATAGTCATTTTGTTTTTATTCTTTTCTTTCCTCTTGAACCAAATATACCTTTATTTAATGCATTGTAGTTTTCTTGCTTCTGTCTCATGTATTCATTTTACAATAATTGGTAATGCTGTGCAATATTTTGTAGCGGGTTTGGAGGCGGTGGTTGTTGCTGTCTTCTTGGGGGTGGTGTGTTCGCTATTAGATTATTTTGTTGCAGTTGTGATGCTTGTTGCGTCGCTTCGCGTGATGCTTGTAGCATCGCTTCGCATGGTTGTTGTGGATATTTTTCATTGTGTTCTACTTCTTGAGTCTTTGCTATTGGTACTGCTCGTGGTTTCGGTTTGACTGCTTTTTGTTGTAATAAACCTTGACAAGTTTTTTCGTGTCTATACCTATAACTTTTTAAAAACAAATTTGTACCTTATTTTTCACAGGTTATACACGTGTCCTTCATTTGTTCTATTTTTGAATTGTTTTTCAATGGCGGTGCTGGCGATGCGTGGCATCGCGTGCTGGTTTGGTTTTTTGGTGGCGATTGTTCAGGTAGAGGTTGTTGTGCTTCTTCTTCAATTGGCGGTAACTCATTTACTGGCTCATCTGCTTCAATCGTATGATTAATTTCAGGTTCAACTTCTGACATAATAATATATGATGTTCTCTAAATGTTCGATATATTATTTTCTTCAGTAGAAAACATATTAGCATATATTTAAAATAAAAATATTTTGAAAATGGCACGTATTCAATTATCTAGGTGAAAGATTAATGAGAATTGAATAGGCGCACTGTGAAAATCAATATGGTCGTTTCTTGAAGTTGTGATTTTAATGTGTATTCTCTTAAAATTTTGACCGCCTACATCAATAAAATATGCATATATGGGCCAGGTGTAGTCGCTAATGACTCCGCCGAGTTGTTGATTAGTTTGAACTGTTTTGATTACTGAACTACTAAAATTACAGGCGCCGAATACTTGCAATCGCTTAATTGAGGTGAGTTAATATATACACTTTAAAAAAGGAATAAAATTAAAATATCTACTTAGCCAAGATGTCGCAGGTTCGTAGGCAAAATAATTGCTTAATAAATAATAAAATCGATTTTGGTCCTAAACTGTCGTTCAAACTGTCCTCTGTTCCATTTGTCATTTACATAAGTTTTTGCGTTCGCTCTGTCCATAAACTGTTAAGAATAAATCCGGCGCAATATTATTGAATGCTTCGTTTAATTCTGATTGTATTTTGAATGATAATTGGTTGGCGTAACAAATTTCACCGGATATATCAGCGGCTGTGCTTCTTATGAAACACTGGAAATATATGACATAATATAGAACCTTTCACAAAACCCTTTCTCTGTTGTATAAAACGGAGCGCTGAAGGAACACTCCGTCACGAACATTTTTGTTCTGGGTGGAATTTCATGTTTTGTTCAGGTTCTATAATAATGTCGCTGGTAGAGTTACTTTCTAGTAATCTGTAAGCACGATCAATATATATTTTTTAATGTTACTCTACCACTCATAAATAATATACGACTTATGTGATGGGACGACAGATATTATTAGGTGCGATAGAAGGCAGGACGCCTACACAAATAATGGCAGGTGTAGCAGGTGATACGACATATACGGCAGGTAAGGATTTATTTGAGGATGTATTGCTCATCATAAAGAGAAGTTGGAAGACAAAATAGGAGGTTTCAATAAACATTTTGACAAGCAAATAATGAAGTATAAAACAAGCTATGTCGAAGAAATCAACATCCACAATAAAAACAACATTGATGATGTCAAGGGGTTAGACGCCGCGTATTCAAATGTGAATGGAGTAACAATAATAGGAAACACTGTGCAAAAAAAGGTGGCATTGGTGCTAAAACGGGACTAAATCACAAAGCCAACGATGTCATTGCAGATGTGTGTTTCATTCCTACTCAGAATGTTCAATTAAGCGAAAGATATAAGGACGCAATGGTCACAGCCTCGGCTCATCCGTTGTTCAAGAAATAAACAACAGACACGAAAACAAATATGCTACTACTGTGTAATCATCACCTTTTGTACCAGGAATTAGTCAACAGAAAAATCCGCGATACTTACGATTTAAGAATAGAATGACCCTATAGCAATATTAGATGATGCCGCGATTACTGCTGACATTGGTTCATTAGACGTGCTAGAAAACCACGGGTATCAAAATTGGAAAGGGCAATGTATGACTGAAATTAATCCTACTACTGATATTTCTAATGGTTTTGACCCTAATGCAACACCGGAACAATAACATATCAATAATATTAATGTATAGAAATAAAGACAAGCAAAACAAAATTCCATTAGAGAAGAAGCTGACAATAAACCATACAAACATTTAGATTTTCATACTCTAAAGATATAGTTGGTACAAAAACTGACTATTTAATAAATACTATAGCAAATACAACTTCAAATAATTCTTTTACAATGCTTCCACATAAGAAAAGTATTAAACATAAAAATAAAAACTATCTCATCATCTACAAGTAATGGAAAATATAATTGCAGAAAGTGTAAACCTACAATGATTAACTCATGAAATTTTGGAAACAGCACAATATATCACGGACAGAAGACACGTTAATTGTTTTCCATCGGGTAGCAATGTTTATAATCCAAATGCAGGAAAAATATTAGACTTCATATTTCAGGAGAAGACAACACATTTTTTTTTATTTATTTTCTCTTAGGTTATTTGCCAATCTTCAAAACACTGACGGAACACAAAGTCATTTTTCACGACCGTTAGGTAATTTATTACCCTTCTTTAGTCGTTATAGATACATTGTAGGCGGGTAACAAGTGCACGATATTATTGAATACAATAGACACTGCGAGTTAAAGCTTCCTTCAAGAGTCAAGATGCTAGAGATATGGACGATTTAGAAAGTAGTGCTAGTCCTCGTTGGGATGATGACTGGCAACACACTTATGCCACTGGTTTAGCAGAAATGTTAGATGTTAATAAACGAACAACTCCCGCTGCTGACCCCGCAGCAGTTGCATTTCCAACTATACGAGACCATACCAGTTGGGGCAATTTAACAGCACGATATACCCGCCATTCAGTTGCAGGAACTCCCGGCGCTAATGGTTCTATGAGATTAGGACATAAACCAGTATGCGGACTGATAGAAAATATTATTTGCCTCTTCGTTATGCACCACTTGAACTGGAATTTACAATTGTATCACATGAACATTCACCAGTAGTTACGCCTTTTAGTGTGATTGATGCAACCACTCAAAATGATGCGTCTGGTTGTTGTTTTCACAACTGGAGACACCAGCGCCAGGTAGGAATTAAATAACGTAATTATACGGGCCGATGTACTACAATTGGACAACACGGTCAATAATAATATAGTGAAATATTTGTTAGAAGGTCAAAGTTTGAAATTAATATTTTCAATGTATCACACTATGACACAATCATTCAACGCAGCGCTTCTAAATTACATGGTTGTTTCATTACATTGTATCGCACACCAAGAACTGGAGTTGATGCTGACAATGCCAATTATTACACACGCACACACAACGGTGATTTGGTATACGGTTGAAAGACGGGCAAGGTCTGTTCTAACTGTAACTCGGGTCCCTACAGTTAAATGACGTGTTTTCTGCAGATTCTTTTTGATGGGGCGCGGCCAGGTGCGACTGTCGCAATCGCACCTGGTCGAGCTGGGTCAATTTTGCCACGCAGCCACCCAGCCAGTGGGAAGCCACTCAACCACCAGGAAGCCACTCAACCACCAGGACTCAGCCACTGAGAGCTAGCCACTTAACCACTCAGCCACCAGGTAGCCACTTAGCCACTTAGCCACTTAGCTGCTCAGCCACTTTGTCACTTAGCCATCGGAAGCCACTTGGCCACTTAGCCACTTAACAGTCTAAGTGGCTAAGTGGCTAAGTGGCCGCGCCTTTTTTTCTAAGTGGCTAAGTGGCTAAGTGGCTGCATGACAAATCCGACCCGATCTGCGCACACACTCTCTTTTCACTTCGGGCTTCAGCATGAATATGCGCGGGAGTTTGTCAGGTGGACATAAGCTTCAGCTCAGTTGGCGAAGATGGCGCTTATCAACTGGCTCAGGCGCATTGCTTAGGTCAAAAGCACAGAGCGCGCATGTCTAAGCTGGCCATACGCCAGGCGGTTGGCATTCTTCGCCGGTTGCAAAGCCTCGAGTTGCTTCTTGGAGGCGTGCGAACTCTTCCCGGTGTTATGGAGCGAGGGGATTGCTCGCTAGGCGCTGGACTTGGGCGCACGGGATGCGAGAAACTTGCCAAGGCGCTGTGATTTCAGGCATTGTGTATAGTGGGAGAGAGAGAGAGAGAGAGAGAGAGAGAGAGAGAGAGAGAGAGAGAGAGAGCGAGAATTGGCTGGGGCAAGCGTGGAATTGTTTCAAATTTCAACGGAGCACCTGCAATGGTTGTAGGAGCTGGCGTCCTTGCGGAGCTTGACTCGACTGATTCTGCGATGCAAAGCTGGCTGGTTGAGTTCTGTCAAAATGCATATGTGTGATTAGCCAGGTGTTGGAAGTGACTACCGGCATGTTGCGATAACAACTATCAGAGAACAACAACTAAAAGGGAAATAAACCAAAGCAAGAATGCAAATACCCGCAACCTTGATCGACGATGAACCGCACGGGCGGACCCCACCAATCTGCCCCGGGCCGATGTCTGTTTCTCCACCGGCACGAAGGTGATCGACGCGGGGACCCGGTGACGCTCATCCGAGGCGCGACGGACCTGCAAACTTGAGCCACTTTGGCACCGGGTGTGTGGGAAACCCTGATCTTTGGGACCGGGGATTGGTTTGCTTTTGGGGAACCTTTCTTTTGTGGCTTGTTTACCCCAACTTACCCATTGCCTGGGCACAGCCTCGTGCCCGCGTCGACCCCACGATCCCGTAGGAGCGTCGCGGATGAGGAGGCCATCCTAGGTGGCCTCCGCTCAGGTGAGGACCTACCGGACTTCGACTACGAGGATTTCGAAGGTTTGACAGGTCAGGACCGTAGGGGTGATGATCCCGATAGAAACACACCCCGAAGCCGTGGCAGGTACACTGACGATGGAGACGACCGTGTTTTCCGTCAGGTTACCGATGATGAGCAAGGACGAGGAGCCCCGATAGGCGGCTCCGAATCAGGTTTCGGACAGGAGCTGGCCCGCCCACATACGACCTGGAGGCCATGCCTTGCCGCTCTCCTAGGTCTCTTTTTCCAGGTGAATCACAGGCCTCAGGGGAGCTCGCGGACAGGCCACGTTTTGGCTCCGAAAAATATCTCGAAGCCAGGTCAGTTCGATGAGCATGAGGAGAGGACTCGGATACGATGCCCTATTGTCTTCAACTGCAGGATGGGGCAGTAGCGTGAAGCCTGAGTCTGACGCCGACAGGCCCAATCCAACTTCAACGACTCCATATGAGTACGGTAATGATGATGAGTATGCCGCATTTGCGGACGCTCGTGATGAAGAAGAGAGTTTGTCTTACCGGAATGCAAGGAGCGGTGTTCAGGAGCAACGCTGCCTTTGAGGATCAGGCCAACGTTGAGATTGGTAAGATTGAGAGGCAAGTTGGTTTGATAGAAAGGGCTGTTAGGGCAATTCCATCCGTTCTGCATTGGGGCCCGATAGGGCTACCAGCAGCGGAGCTGGTGAGCGTGTCAGGAACTTGACCAGTGGATAGACACCAAGGCGAGAGTGACCAACATGCTGAATGGGCCACCAGGGTCACGAAGAGCTTCAGGACCAAGCACAGGTGGAAACGTGGGGGGATCCCTTGTGACCGATAGGCCTAGAACGCCTGACGCGCGCAGGATTGGCGTGCGGCTATCGAGGAGGTTAATCGTAAGATCCAGGATCTCACTCGTAGAGTTTATCGCCAGTCTCAGCGGTGTGAAGCAGTCGTCAAGGATGTCGAGACTACGAACACCCAAATCGCCACGTTCAATGAGAACAGCCAGAGGCTTCAGCAGACAGTGCAAGCTATGAGATCGCAGATTGCAGCTATCTCACCGAATGCAGAGCAGACACATGGTGGATGCATGCGTGCGGAGGCTTGGAGTTGTCGAGGGCAACATTCGCGTTTTGAATGACATGAACACCCAAGTTATGGGGCGAATGGCTGAGCTCGAGGGACACGTTGATGATGCGGCGGATATGATCCAGGATGTTCAGAGGAATCCTCGTGGGCCCTGACAAAGGCAGAACGTCGGACACGACGCTTTTGCCCCAAGTGTGTCAAGTGGAGTTCGTGCTGACTCCCGTGCAAACAGGCGTCCAATCTCTCTCGTTAGGGAGTGGGAGGACAGCCGAAACAGAAGGTGTCTGCGAGCGCATGACAGGTCACACTCTCCGCCGAGGCGCGCAAGAGATGGCCCACAGGGACGTGCCAGGGCTGATGTTTCGGTTTCCCAAATAGGGATGAAGGTAGAAACAGGAGTCTGAGAGCAGCCAAGAACGCTGATAGGGAGCCCGAGGCGCCTCTCCAGAGCCGAACCGCCCACCTCAAAAAATAGCCGCAGTGACAGAAACCGTGCTGATGTCCCAAGTCCTGGCGATAGCCAAATGAACCTTAGGACCTCTGCGGATCGTGGTCAGGTTGCAGCCCGACTGCGAGCGGTACACCACGTGGCGATGGGCCCGAACTCGGGAGGATCTGTTCTCAGGGCAACCCGAATGATCGGAGACACCCGAATGCAACGAGCTTCACCTGCGTCTCATGTGAGCGCCGTTTCTGCCGGATGTGTAGAGGCGATGACGGGCGCTGCATGAACTGCCAGCTCTTGAGGATGAAGTGCTGGGCTTGCCACAAGAACGCTCAGGAGGTATCCATGTACTCCTGTCATGATTGCCAAAAGGACATTTGCAATTCGCACAATGCACGAACGCTCTTGTGGTGGAGGGTAACCTCCCCCTCCCAGAGGAGGAAGTGGGGGTGGAGCACCGTCGGGTCACGGCGGAGGCGGATGCGGTAAACCTGAATCCTCTGCGCATCCATCTGGCGGAGGGAAAGGGCCTGCTGGGCCTGCCTTGTGGGGGATACCCTGGCGTCGGAGTGCCGACGTTTTGCCAGGGAGTTGGTAACAATTAGTGTGGTTCCAGCTTCTATGGTCCCGTGAATGGGTGTGGTGTTTCCTGCTGGTAACCTTGGGTCGGGTCTCAGCCTTGGCTACAGTACTCGGAGCTGGATGGCAGGGAGACGGCGGTCTTCTTCCTGGAGTCTTGGGAGGAGATGACGGGCGGGTGGCAGGATCCCTGAGCTTGGTTTCTGGTTCCGTGTGGGCTGTGGGATGAGAGCGTGCGAGGTATGCTGCCCATTGCCTGCTAGACTGTGTGAGAGCTGTAGGATTACGTCACGGGGGCATTGATCTTGACTGTTGTTGACAGCAAGGATCGGTGCCACCACAGTGCAATTCGATCACTTTGCCCCCTGAACCGACAGCTGATAAGCTGCGGGAATGGATTTCCGAAGTAAAGGAGAGACTCTGACTACGCCTTTGCGTGGATCTCCGAGACCGAGAGGCTGGACTATGATGCACTGGGAGGGCCGTGCAAGTATCCCGTGTTGGATTCTAACTAGAGTGCGTCAAGACGAAGGCCGTAAGGGACAAGATGAACCGTGCCTATGATTCCTCCTCAGGGCATCAAGGGAAGGCAGATCTTGAAGCTTCTGCTGAACCATTTGCAGACTGGAGTCGAGGATGACCAGACCTTCAAGATCGCTGAGCTGACTAGTCTCAAGTGTTGGCACCTGGGATAACCTCGTCTATGGAATCAAGAGGAAGATTGACGACGGGGTGCTGTTAGCGGTGTTCACTGAGAACGTCCGTCATCTGCGCTGCATGCGGCCTGACATCCAGAGGTGGGCGATGAGACCGTTAGGTCGTTCGCATGGCTCTGTAAGGCTTGTCAGGACTGTGTTGAACGGTGGCAGAAGCGCCAGAACACGCTTCTATCAGACGTTCCACGAGCAGAGGTCGCGCTCGAACACGCACTTCTCGTGAACGGGAACGACACCCCGGAGCGCGCTGATCCCGAACGAGCTGGACTGCTTTAAGCAAGCCAGGCGGGTGTTGCGCCTGATTAGGAACAAGAAAATTGTTCCTCAGTCGATGGTTCTGCCGAAGGGAGGATACTCCCGCGTGGCGGTGGACCATACTCAGTTGGAGAGGCTTTGGGATGCGCGGACGACTGCCATGTTAATGGACATGATGCTCCCTATCTACCCCTCCATTGTGCTGAGCGAGATGGCACGTGGCTCTGACAAGCTGATAATCTTGCTCAGCTGCAAGCAACGGGACGGGCGCGTCGTTGAGGATAACGGCGGCTATCTCTGCCGGCTATGGCTCTCCTGTGTACAAGGAGGAGTCCGCGGCCCCGGATGCGACCGTGTTGTACTTGCTGGACCAAACGTTCAACACCGCGTCCCAGAAGAGTAAGAAGGGTTGGATCCGACCGTGTTAGCTCACGTGCAGGACGAAGAACGATAGGTTGAGGGGTTCCCCGGACCACCGACCGTTCAAGAACTATGAGGTCCATTATGTGACCAGTACTTGTGATAACGAGGAAACGTCACTTCGGATGATGCGGCGCCAAGGCTTACGAGCTGCTGGACAAGCGGGCGGAGGAGTGCCTTCAAAAGCACGGGAACACGAATGCGGCGAAGTCTGACCTGTATGTTTTCGGCTTTCGCGGTTCTTACCTGTACAGGTGGGAGAAGAATTCGTGGAGAGCGAGGAGCGACGCCGCAACCGTCTGGGATAAGGACATGGAAGCGCTGATAAAGCTTGGTGATAAGGCGAAGGTGATGGTCTGCGGCCCCGGGAGATCGTTAGATCGAGAGGGTGGCCCAGGAGTTCACATGCAGAGGGAAGTCCAGATGAAGTTGAACATGATTTGGATGAACATGATTCTCGTGGTCTCCGCTGACGCCGTGGACGTGGACCATTGCGGCAGGAACAAGCCGGTGCAGAGGGCATGGATTTTGTTGCCTGCGTACCTGGCAGCGGTCCCGGACTTCTTTTCCCTGACCAGGACAGATTGGCCTGGGGAGACCGGGATGAAGATCAGGGACGCCATCTTGAAGGAAGCGAAGGAGAGTACTTCGCCGAAGATGGGTGGAGCTGGTTCCATGTCAGAGTCCGAGGATGCCGAGATGCCGAATGTTGGATCGGAGATTCCGCCGATAGGCGGGGCTCCGGAAAGTTCGTCATCAGGTGTGGATCGTCGAGAGGCGAATGCGACCGCCGCCCAGGGCGTTAGTCGCAAAAAGAAACGGGAGCGGTGCGACCGAAGTCTCCGCCGAACCCTCCACGGATCCCGAGGATCTCTTCCCCACCGGTGCCTGGAGGCGAAGTTGGAAACAGGTGGACTTCTAATTTGCGGACGCCCGGGGCAACAATTGAGGAGGAGAACTTTGAGGCTGGAGGTTCCCTTAACGTCGACGACCTCCTCCCCGAT